GGAGAGCGGTGCCCGTGCTGCCGTGCACCACATGGATGCCGTCGGGCCCTTTCAGCTCCACCGGCTGCTTGTGTCGGAAGCGGAGGCTGCCCTGGCCGGGGCCACGCTCCTCCTCCTCCTCCTCCTCCATCTCCTTCTGGATCAGCTGCAAAAGGTCCATGGAGTGGGGGAATCACCACTGGGGCCAGAGCAGATCCTGGCTTCCCCACCTCCGAAACTCCTGCAACGCTGGAGCCTAACGGGATGGATGGGACCCTCCTCTTCTGGAAGCAACCTCGAAGCATGGTGGTGAGGATCACCAGTGCGACAATGATCTCCAGCCAGATCGCTCCACAAAGGGGATGGATGGAACATTCCAGGCCAGGTTGGCCAGGGCTGTGAGCAACCTGATGTGGTTCAAGGTGTCCCTGCTCCCTTGCAGGGGGGTTGGGCTGGGTGACCTCTAGGGGTCCCTTCCCACCCAAAACATTCTGTGATTCTATGATGAAGGGGAGGAAGGACGACAGACAGGTTACCCAAAGCCATAGACAGTGTATTTCTGAGTCCCGTAACAGACCGTGCCCGAAACTCTCCACAAGGTTACGATGGGAAACAACACCCCCAACCCCCCCAAAAAAAAACCCCAAACAAACCCAAAAGCAAAGGAGAGGAATGGCCCTCGAAGGCGCACAGGGGCTTACTGAATGAGCAGGGTCAGCAGGCACTGGAGCCTGTAAAATCCTGAGCCGATTTCTCAGTAGCTGATAATCTGAAATGTTGAAGCTCTGTATATTAATTGCTCTACATGATTTGAACTTAAATGCTGCTACAGAGAGGGAATACTAGCAAAGTGACTAAGGTAGATTAAACCCAAGTGCAGTCTACGAGTTTAAGTCTTATCACATTTCTGGTTTAAAGTTATTTATTGCTTTTTGTTTGTTTGTACTTCTTGTTCCTAATTACAGCCAGCTATTAAGATTAATGCTTACCTTGAGCAAGCAGTGTTTGCTAGGTTTACCTTTTGTTTTGTCTGCCTGATGGATGTGCCGAAAGGAGAAGGCTTGCAGGATTCCCCCACAGAAACAGGGAAGATTGATCAACTGTAATGATAAGGACAGCAGCATTATTTTGGCTTTACCATGGGGTAAAAGCCTATCAAAATGATATAGTTAAACAAAACTGAAAATCAATTAGTCAGTGACTGTAGTTTTTCTGGAGGGATTTTGTTAGCCTTTTATCACCTGATTAAATTTTTTTTTTTCTTTCTTTTTTTTTAAAAAAAAAAATGCTTTTTTTTTTTTCTTTAAATAAGAAAAATAAAAAAAAGAAATTTACTGTTTTCATGGATAAATGACAGGTGAGTAAAAGCAAACCGGTCCTGAGAGCCCTTTCCCAGGGCCAAGCTCTCCAAGGCTGCCGGAGTCAACCACGCTGCTTGGCCTGGGCTCCTTCTGCAGGGGAAGGGGGGGCCAAGCGCCGGTCTCGGGGTGCTCCCGGCCCCCGCCATGGCCTCCCTGGTCCGTGCTTTGTCCCCGCCGGCCCCGGTTTGCCTCGAGGAGCAGC